ACTGTGTCTGCGTTACGCTTGCACAGTCTGTAGACGCAGCTTGCTAACCAGGCTAACTAGCATTAGCAAGAAAACAGGGACTCCGCCCTCTTGTCCAAATATGGTCACTTCTGGCTCCAAAAGAACAACAAGAGAAAACATCCGTCCTTTATTTACAGTGGACAGCTGTAAATTTACCAACTGTGCCAAATGAAACTGACCCCAAACAGCAAAGCCTTATGGGTAATGAGGACAGGACTGCTGAGAAGCAGGCAGCGCAGATAAACATGGCAGCCTGATAATCACGTCTGCACGGTTAGAACAATAACAATGCTCCTGAGCTGTAGCTCAGACTCTTTATTTCCACGTCCGTGCGTGCAGATCACCCGAGGACAGATGTTATTGGCTCAGGGCAGACTAACATTACCTCCTCCTCCGCCCTGCCTCCATCACTGAGCACAAAAAAGCTGCACTAATCTTCCAGACATATAAAACCCTGTTTAAGTGACCTACACATCTCAAGCTCATGTGAATTAAACAGACATGACATTTAAACATGAGCCAGACTGTCAATTTGTCGTAAGAAAGCGGCTCTCTAATGAAGCCTGAAGGCAGAGTGAGTCATCGTTTCTCCGTCAGTCCAGGTCACGGTGTGGTTTCTGACTCCTCCTCAGTCAGGATGGCTCCCCATCAAAACAACAGAGCCACATTTAGCCGAGCCGTTTTATTATTCATGGCTGCCGCTCGGATGCAGGCCGTGAGAGTCATCATTCGATCCGCACAGACTCAGCAGCAGGTTTCTTGCAGGCCTGATGTCCACGCTGTTAGCCCAGATACTCGGGCAGTAAAGAAAGAGGCGGGCTCGCACGCATTACTGCGCTCCACGCAGGAAAGATACGAATTTAATAAAACTCTGACCTCATTTACTTTATTATTTTAAAGGCTGTAACATTCAAATCTGTGTGATGGACAAAAAGCCTGACGTGCAGCTTTGCTGGCTGTTGTTTTGTGAATTATTATTATTATTATTATTATTATTATATTTAGCTCATTTTTGATGACAGCTTATTGCTTTGTTTCTATTCATATGCTGCTACCAACTATGTAGCTGTTGGAAAATATTGGAGTTATATGAGGAGTTTAGTCATTTATTGTGTATTTATTTTCCTACATTCACCTAAACCAGTTTAACAACAAATTAACATTATGCACAAAATTTACATTTATTCAAAAATACGAAAAACTGATCAAAACAGCAAAAACTATTTTAAATAATTAGCATTTTAATATGCACAGGCAGGTTGCAGAAGAGCTTCTCTGAACACACAGCACATGAAACAGGGCTGCAGCAGCTGCAGACCCCACTGAGTGGGACCCACTCAGCTGAGAACAGGAAGCTGAGGCTGCGGTTCACAGGCTCAGCATGTTTAACACCAGACGTGGAAACATGGCAACATTCAGATGGTAGGATCAGAACGTGGCGTGAACGTGAGTTCCTGGATCATCCTGCCTTGTGTCAACTATTAACTGCCTGAGGTTCTACCACCTCCACGCAGGCAAACACACAGCAGGAGAGCCCCGCCCGGGTGGCTGTTAGACCAACAAACACACCCTCGTCCAACACAGACACACACGGAGGATGTGTAAACTTTTCCCACAGTTTTCAGTCTGAAGTCACACTGATGACGGTGTCGTGGGATTTCAGGTCTGACTGGTCTCCAGCGGGCGGTGACGGCAGCGAGGATCCAGGAGGAGATTCTCGTCATTTTCATAAACAAATGTGTTTGTGCTGGTCGTTGTTTAAAGCATCGACAGCTTTCTGTGCTCGTCTCTTCAGCTCTTTCAAAAGACTGAAAGAGATATAAAAATCTAATGATAAATATTTCAGTATTTTCTCCCCCAAACAGGAAGAGCCCGTCAGAGTCTCCCTCTGAGAAACAACACGTTTCATCTATCTGAAGAAAGCGACTCGTTACTAACTCAACAGGTCCTCTGTGAGCCTGACATGGATCTGTGGAGGGAAACTGATGCTATTTTACTTATTATTACATTCATATTATATAATGAATAATATTTTATTGTACTTTATCATTTATTCTGTTTTCTTTTATTTAGCGTGTGATCATCTGATTTTGTCATTTAATTTTATTACATTTCTTTTAAAACTTTATTTTTTAATCTTTGAATTTCTCTTTTTTGTTTTTATTATGTTTTGTTTTATTTTTAGTCGTATTAAAAATAAATAAATATTTGTTTTGATTGGTTTCTGCTGTTCTCTGACTCGATCTGCGTTTATTGCCTCTGTGTCAATAAAGTTTGATCAGAGAATGTTTCAGTATTTATTAGGAAATATTTACTTCATATTTTTCGGCCACGTTTGATTTAAAAAGTAATTTTTATTTCCCATTAATTTAATTTTAGATTCGTTTTTCATGCTTTTTAATAATATTTTTAAGTCAATTTCCACTTTATTTCCAGACATATATTCTTTTTACTGCTCGTTTTTCAGAGATTGTATTTTCTTCTGTTTTTGGGTTCATTTCTTCTAAGCAGTTAAAAAATGAATTCAATAAATAAAGATTTCTGGCTTCTTGGAGTCAGTCTCACTGATTTTCTTTAAAAGGAATGAATTTTCTACATGAACCCTTCTCATGTCCTGATGTAATTTGTTTCTGCATCAATAACTACACTTACATCACTACATCAGCCTTTGTTTACATGTTCCGTTTCCTCCACGCTCGTCCTCGCCGAGCTCGGCTCACATGATCTGATCAGTGAGGAAGCAGCAGGCAGACACCACCCAGCTAGAGATCCACAGATTCACCAAACATTTCCTGCTGCTGACCTCCATCAGCACAGACGGAGAGGGCATCAGATATCGCTCCAACAAGCTCACAGCGGAGGACGAGGATTGCACAGAGAGACACCGCCATCCGCTGTTAGCATTAGCTTGGCACCAACGCACGACCAGAGCTGCGATTTGAGCTCCGACATGCAGAAGAAAGTTTCCACCAGTGAAACAAAAAGCTCAGATTTCATTTACAAAGATGACACAGGATGATGAGGACTGAGATAAAATCAGAGAAGGTCAGATGTAACGCTGACCTTTGGGGGGAATTACTTGGAGTTAAATGCTCATTTTCTTTCATTGATACACAACACGTTACAAAATGCTGCCTCAGCAAGCACGATTTTAATCTTTGGGTCGACACCAAGGTGACCTCCATCCAAACCCCAGCAGAGCGTTTCGGCCTCCAACACGCACACACAAACTTGTTTTCATCTAACACGGGGACTCCACTATCTTGATTTGCCAGCCCACAGAGGACACTAACTGTGCCATCTGTGCTGAAGGCCTGATGGAAAACATTAGCCTGAGGAAACGACTTTGAAACAGCAAAGTTAAACCTGCTCAGGCTGCAGGTAGGACTACACCTTCCACTTCAATTATTCATCCAACAGTCTGGAAACAATTAATGTTTGATCAGCTGGATCCAAACTCCTCCCTCTGCAGCTCCTTTGTCTTCCTCGGGGGTGAGAGCGGGCTACAGACACAAAAGGCCGGGACCCGTCTATGAAACTAGCTTCTGTTTCATTGGTATGTGAACAAAAACCTGAACAGGAGGCACAAAACTAATGAAAGCACCAGCAGGGCTTCTGTTTTCTGTGCTGTGACTCATCCCCTCTCCGTTATCCGTCGGGCTCTTCGGGGAGAGCCCGAGGGAGAGGGCGAGGAGGAGAAAGGCAGGAATGAAGTCCAGCCGGTGTCAGCAGGTTCCCTCAGAGAGCCGCTGAAGCTGGCAGCGAGAGCGCCACAGAGCAGCAGGGGACTCGCCTCTGCAGCTGCTTTCACCTGACTCTGCCGACCAGCCCACATCAGCTCACTTCACAGTACACGCGCTGCCTTTCCTCCATGACTGCAGACTCCGGGGCTCATGCTCCAGTTTAAGACTCAGGTTAAATGCCCGGATGATGCATTAGACTCTCCGCCGTCCATCACACTCACTGCTGAGGCCTGCTGTACTTTCTCTTCATGCTGACGGGGAAAATCAAACTCCATGTTTCCTGTCTGTGTGCTTTAGCACCGAGCAGTCAATAAATCATCACCATCACACACACGTCTGGATCCACTGAATGAAACTTACTCAGAAAGGGGAAGCTGAACCTGTCCATGTTATTAACTTAGTGCTTGCAGCTCGTTAGGAGGCAGAACTTGAGCTTAAAGTAAATAAAGAAATGTGTGATTTATAAATGAATTCAACTTGACATTTCATTCCTACAATAAACTGGAATCGAGCCCAAGTTTGGTGACTTCACCAATCTGATTGGCTGTTATGACTCCCACATCAGCTGCTGATTGGCTCTTTGTAGGCAAGCGTTTACCCAACTGATCAATAAAAGAAATCAGCTGAGCATTGATTAACTGAATAATCAATTAGTTCAATAAAGTAGCCAGTAATGATTCACAGAGACGGTTTGTTGCAGTAAAAACATCTGATGTTTTATAAACAGCACACTAATCAATCAGCTGATCTGAGTAATACAGAGAGCAGTTATGTTATTACCAGGTTAGTTTAACCAGTAATGATAACTGCTGTGTGACGCCAGGCTCTTAGAAACAACACCAAACTAAAGTTTCACCGTCCTGTGAGACTTTCTGAGCTGTGTGAGTGATTGCTTCACCGGAAAGAGACCGACTGATCGATTAATTGTTCGATCAGTTCATTAAAATAAACTGTCTCAAGTCTCGTTATCTTTAGGACAAAATGATCAAAAACAACCCGTAACCTTTTCTGACGTCAGATAAGTTACACACCTGACCAGCTGACAGAAAATCTAAGTAATTAATCGATTGTGAAACAGATCTTCTGTCTGACCCTCAGGTCTCTCTCTCACACACACACACACACACACACACACACACACACACACACACACACACACACACACACACACACACACACAGCCTGGACGTGGGGTGTGTGTGTGCGTCCTCTCAGCAGATGTTTCCTCACACTCACCTGCGAACCACTCGGAGCATCTGACGCCGAAATGCGGAAATATGCAGCTCGGCTGGATGAAGACAGCCGAGCTGCAATGGGGCTGTGAGCCGGGATGTACCGGGCTATGAGCCGGGCTGTGCCGAGGTAATATCCGACCGCTGGCGGTGTGCTGGAGGCCGGGCGGCGGTAAGAGTCCCAGTAAACGGCGCTGAGCTGTGGGGCCTGTGGATGCTCCTCCCGGGCTCGGCGGGTCTCGCGCTGCCGACGATCACCTCCGCGCGCCCTGACGGAGAGGAGACGCTAACGTGAACGCCTTTTGTCCGCGTGCAGTCTGTTTGTGCCGCACATGCTCAGAGCTCGAGCCGCTGCTGCTGAATCATCCACACACGCGCGTGCACGCGGACAGCGCTTGCGCGAGGGCACAGCTGACTCTGACGTCACGCGGACGCTGTAAACAAAACCCTTTCGTGGCCGGTGTTCCAGATCTACTGGCGTTTAGATCTACTGGCGTTGGTGGAACAGATGTGTGGCAGTTTCAGTATATAACGTTTCAGGAGCTGCTACCGACAAACCAGCAAAAAACCGCCAAATGTGTCACCTGTGACACTTGTGAGGTTGTCTCAAACACACTCCGTCCGTCGTGATGCTGTTGAACAACAAAATGTTTAAAAATGTCGCGAGTTTACCTGGTGATATCCTCACGCGCGACGCGATCGCGAAAACAGCAAACAATTAACACCACGCCGATGTTGTTCACAGGACAGCAAGAGTAAAGCGAGCAGTTTGCTTTGTGCACTAACATGGACTCGAGTCAACCAGCGCCCCCTCTGGCCAAGTGCCACAGCCTACAGCCAGATCAGCCTGACACACATCTGCACAACACGTTTGTACCTTTCAATTGTGTCCGTTTGTGCGTCGTGCAAATAAGCCTTTGAAATGATTGAAATGATATCATGTATTTTTTTTTATTGGCCTACATTTGTACAAAATTCCAAATTATATACACAAAGTCATAGAAATCACCACTCCAATTGGTCATCATGATTTTGATATTCTCTTTTTCCATGACAATGAAATACGCCTTGGACAAATATGACACATCAATATTTCATTAGTGTTGTCACATCACATCCTGTAAGCAGAGTCTGCCTGTGTCCTTTATATATCTGTCTCTATACAGTCTGTATAAGTGTGGTTAATCTAATAAACATGTGTAAGGAGATGGCAGTTACTGTGAATGTACAGCAGGTGATCAGTAATAAACAGTCAGACAATGACTCTAACGATCTCATTCAGTCTTGCAGATTGAATGCACCTTCTGTGGAAAGTGGTACCACACAGTGTGTGTGGACGTCCCCTGTGCAGAAGGCGACTACAAATGTTGTGGGTGCTAAATAAACAGAAAAAATGATCCCTGTTGTCTTTGCTTACTGATTGTTTTCAGTGTTGACAATCCACATTGCTGGGATTGCATCTTTCAACATGTTGGTGAGTAGATGTACCAGGGGTTAGTGCAGCCACTCAGCCTCTACTCACTGTGATCATAGCAGCAGGTGCAGATGTGTCAGTAGGCTGTGGTACTTGGCCACAGGTGGCAGCAGTGGACTGACCTCCACTGGAGACTGCTCCAGCTGTGTGATAGTGGATCTGCTACAAATTGAAGCTCATAAGCAAGTTTTGGAAATGAACCCTTGTATTATGTTGAAAAACAAAAAAGTGACATTGATTTTGTTGCGGTCATTTTGACCCGTACTGTGTAAATCCACTCAGAATGATCAAAAACCTGCACTAAAACAATAGAAACTTTAGAAACAGGAACCTTCCCAACTAAGATTTAAAACAAACAATTTCTACGTCTCCTCCAGAGTCAACAACAGATGACAAACCAAGCGACACACCTGAGTCACTGACTTTCTTAAATCCACTCACTCTGTTTATTTTTAGAGATGCCTGTTACCCACCAGCTGACCGGGCGGTCACTCGGGTTAAACATAATAGAAAAGGCTGAACTGACAATGCTGTGACAGTGACACTATATATATCAGGGGTCCGGAGCCGCGGCTCCTTAGTCCTTATACTGCGGCTCCACGTGGTTTGGGAAAATAAATTAGAAGTAGGGGAGACCGGGGACAGTTGTAACATTTTTGACATTTCTGTCTGTAAATTGAAGCTCTTTTAAGGTAGTGGATTCAAAATGTAATGCAAAGTATTTCCATGTCTCTGCTATTAAATAGTTACTGACAGACACCGAGCAGCCAATCCCAGCACACCAGGGTCCAGCATGGCGCTGAAAGTGTGGCGCTCCATCTCTCAGAAACATGTACAACAGGAAAAGCTGAAAATCAAAAATCATATTAACCACAAACTTTTCAGGTTATTAGCAGCAAACACAGAAATCTGTTTGTGCCATTATGGAAATGTTTCACTCTTTTATAAAACTGCAGATCTTTCTACCCGATGAACATCAGTCAGCCCAGACTGAAATGTTACATGTGTGAGGCAGACACGTAATAAACACAAGCAGAGAAACCATGTTGCACAGTCACATGATCATGATTATTGCAGCCTGTGTAATGCTCAACTACTGCATCAACAACTTGATTTTCAGCCCAGTGCATGCCCGCAAATCTCACTTATTCCATGCAGTAATCAGCCATGTACAGGCTGTGAAGTTGGAATTTGCTCCAATCAGAAACTTCTGGAAATAAAGCATATGATGCATAGTGGGTGGGTCCAGCACTGGCAGAAATCAGAGAGAAATATCTTAATAGTAATATGTACAATTAACAAGCACCCTGAATTGGATTATTGAAGTAGTAAAACTTCTTCCAGGCGATGAAGTGCCAGAAATCCAAACTCCATTTCAATATGCAACAGATCTTTGAGATGTTTGTGTTGCCTTCAGATTGCTCTAAACAGTTGTTAGTCTGCACTCAGTCAGTGAAAACTGCTCCACTGTTCCCAATATCAATATAGAGTCTCCATCAGGTTCAGGACTATGTGAAACCTCTTGAGTGTTTATAGCAGCAGCATCAAGGCAACTGAGCAAATCACAAATTTATCCAAGTTTGTGCTCATAAATCAGCAGGATGACACGATGAAACGCTGTCGTCTGCATATAACTTTATATCTGTAATATATTTTAATCTAAGTAGTATAACCAGAATCTGTTATCCAAGCTGAGGTTTTAAGTACAGTCATCTTCCACTTCCCTCACCTATGGTGTGCCACAAGGTTCTGTATTGAGGCCCTTATTATATACATAATGCTGATTCAACGTTTCAGTTATGGACGTGCTTCTGTCACATTACATTCAGAGCTCTGTGCACTCAAACACACATCACTATGCTTATGTTTAACATAATGAAGATGTGACTACGACACCTCATTGGTCAGCTTAGTGCCTTCTTTGATAACATTGTTAAATAAACAGAAAAAGTGCTCAGTATTGCACTAGCTTCCCCTGTTTGAAGCTTTTGTTCCACATGTAGAAATGTTGCAGCAGCCACAGCAGCAGCAGAGGTGAAAGGTTGCACAGAGAAACAGACAACCACACTTAAGAGCTCTTTGTGACACACACTCTTTCATCTCCAGGAGAAAGCGGCCAGGATTGTGCTCATGCCTCCTTTCATTCGCTCTCTTAGAATAAAATAGAGTAGATTTGATTCATTTCTTCTGCCTTCATGATATAACAAAGATAATAATGTAAAATCAGTAATTTCTTAGTAAAAAGGATACTGTACTCAAATATACAGACAAGTGTCTAATTACATCTTCCATTAACCTGACCCATATAATTAATCTAGAATAAACATCAGTGGGTTGGCAGTTTGTGGAAGCCACTATATCTGAATACAGTGGAGGGAAAGGACATCTGCCTTGCAACTAATGGTGTTTTACGTATGTGGTGCTAGAGAGCGGAGATGCAATGTGCAAACCAAAGGAGAAAGAAGTCACGGGTGTTTGCGTAAGGTACATTTAGATTCACTTCTGCACCGTCATACCCTACATTTTAGCCCCTTCACACAAACACAAGGAAAGAGAACGCCACTGGCACCTTATTAAAATGTTGTCTTCATTTAAGTCAGAGCTCTAACACAAAAACACGCTCCCAGGTCAGACACGTGACCCTCTCATCTCTGGAAAGCTGACAAGAGCTAAATAACAGCAGCCAGTTATACGCTAACATTAGGCTCCAATGCCCTAACAGTCACTTTCCCGCTGATAAATCGTTCAGCTGCGTCTGAAAGCTGAGGTAAACCGCGGACTGACTGCCTTCTACAGTTGAAATTTAAGGTTGTCTCTGACAGATGAAAATAAGTTATCCTAGCCACTGTAGCCAGGCTTACGCAAATAAGTTTCTGGAGGTAATTCAGTAGAATTCTGCAAGCTGCTGACATCTGTTAAACTTTGACACACTGTAGCTTTAATTGTCAGTCCATGGTTTGACTTTGGGATCTGGGGTCTTGGTTGAGTATTTTCAGTACATTTGAGTTATTCTCACCATTTTAAGTCTTGAGTTGTAGTTGCTATAGTGTTGCCTTTCACTTCATTATGCTTTTCATCATCATTCATCCAATGTGACAGAATCACGTGACCTGCAAGACAACCTTTGTGTCCATGCATATCAGCCAGTTTAAAGAAAGTTGTTACCCATCACCTCTGACCGTGATGGTGTCAGGTTCAGCCAGTTAAGGCAGAGTCTGGCTATGCTGAATGTGTAAACGTCAAAGTGTCTGACATTGTCCACAAAAACCTAAAGCTGACCTAATGACTGGTTGCCCAGTAAAAGACTGGAGAACAGATTGTTGTTATAGTGCATTTAATGACCACATGATGCATGGAGGCCCAGGCTCAGCTCATCAAGTTGACCTGCAAGAACAAAAAGTCACTACACATGTTTCTCCAAATTTAAGCAAGTTGGTTCGTAACTGTGCCTTACCTCAAACCTTTATCCTTTGAGAATCAACCACTGGGACACTTTCTGGATCGTGTGGCAGCACAGGGCTTAGAGGAAAGGGGCTGTAGACATCGTCAGTGTATTTGGAGTAAGAAAAGGCTTCTCTTCCTCGCTGGTAACCATTGCCGTTCTGGATGATGTAGGATGAAGGCAATGCAGGTGGAGCCATAAACATGCCAAGTGGCACTTGAGAGGTATACCAGGCATTAAAGTCAGGATAGGTCTGAGAGGGCATCCAGTCCTGTGGGTCAAAGGAGGAAGGAGCTCCCCCTGTAGGAGCATTTATCCATGGAAAGCCAGCAAAATATGAGGATCCAGTAAAGCCACCAATACCAACCCTTCCAGAGCCGGAGCCGCCAGCAGATCCAACCCCTCCAGAGCTACCAGCACCGACGCCTGCAGTAACAGAACTGCCAACGTCAACCCCACTAGTACCAGAGCTGCCAACACCAAGCCCTGTAGTAACTGAGGTGTCACGACCAACCCCAGTTGTGCCAACACTTAAAGCACCAGCTCTGCCAGCACCAGAGGCCCAGTCACCAGTATCAACTCTTACAGATCCAGTGCTACCATCCCCACGCAATCCAGTTCCAGGGAACCATCTGACAGCACCAACCCCTCCAGTACCAGGTACCCAGCCAAGGTGGCCCAATCTTCCAGTGCCACCAGACTGACCTGAAAGCAGAAATAAGTTTTTACTGAAACTGAGCTTGTCAAGTTGCAATGAAGCTCTTGCAAATTTTGCTCTGAGTAGCACTGAAAGAAAACCCTTCTATTACTTGGTTTAGCAGACCAAGCTTTTCAGTCAAGTATAAAATTACAGTTTCCTGAGAAAAAAAAAAAAAAAAGGGGGGGGGGGGGGGTAGTTCAGTTCTGCTACAGCTATATTTCCAAGACTAACTCTTGAGATTAGACAGGAAGACTTACCTTTAACTAAAACAGGCAGGCAAGCACCTCGGCCAAAAAGGAGGAAGCAAATCCAGGAAACCCTGTTAAAGATATAACATGTTTTATATATATTAAAAAAAAAAAACTTAAATTATAAAAGAGACATCAAACAGCACAACTAACCTCAGCATAAAGACAAGCACCATGATTAAGGGTCCGCTACAGCAGGCTGGTATCAACACACTGCCAGCTGCTTACAGATCAACTCAGTATCCGTTAACTAGCTGACAGCAAATGCATGGCTTATATTGGTGCTCAACATGCTGGCAGCTCTCGTTAAATTCATTCACTTCACCTGGTGCTCATCACTCCCCAGTCAATGATGCATTCTTTTGAGCCTGGAATCTGAACAATACCGAACCCCGCACAGGAAAGTTTGACTGCAATAGAGAAGAAAAAACAACAGAACATGTTTTGATGCATTGTCAGAAATATGATGCAGAGAGAAGAATTGATATGCTTGGTGATATGAAAGTGAAACTGGGCTTGGTTGATTTGTTTCATAAGAACTCGAGAAGGGAAAGTTATCAGACCATATTTGGTTTTTATGGCAGACTCATTTGTTTGGGAGGTTTTTAATTTTTAATTTTTTTGTAAAAATTTATTTATTTATTTTGTTAACATTTTGGTTCACATTCCAAACCAGTTGGTGGCAGTATTGCACCGTTTTGCTGTTTGCCAACCACCAATAAATAATTTAAAGAAGAAGAAGCCTGAGCTCCTACTTGTAATACTACAGGGTGGGCCATTTATATGGATACAGCGTAATAACAGGGGAATGGTTGGTGATATTAAAGTCCTGTTTGTGGCACATTAGTATATGTGAGGGGGCAAACTCCTCAAGGTGGGCGGTGACCATGGTGGCCATTTAGAAATTGGCCATCTTGGATACAACTTTTGTTTTTGCAATAGGAAGAGGGTCATGTGACACATCACACTTATTGGTAATGTCACAAGAAAAACAATGATGTGCTTGGTTTCAACGTAACTTTATTCTTTCATGAGTTATTTACAAGTTTCTCTTTGTTCACAGCCATTGACATGTCGAAGAGGTTAACACGTGAGGAACGGATCGAAATTGTGTTGATATCTGGTGAACACAGTAACCGGGTCACTGCAGCAGATTTCAATGCAAGACACCCTACGAGACCACCCATCTCCCATGCTATGCTATATTTTTCCTGCAACAGGGAGATGATTGTGGTTTTTAGTGAACTTTGCTCAGTGGGGAAAATCGCTAGGATTTAGGACATGGATTCAGCTTAACACTTGTAATACGCACTAATACATCTAAAACTTCTGTCCAAAATTTTGGGATTTCTGGACATTCATATAGGCAATGCATCAGTGTACCTTTATCCCCACATTTAACACACATGTCCGGAACGTTAGGGTCAAATTTGTTTAATAATCTTGGGGTGATATATGTCCTAATTTTCCATTTATACTGGATTAGTTTAAATTGGGTGTTTATAGATTGTGTTTGGGCTTTCAAGTAGGCTTTTTGATATTCCGCTGTGGTTATTCTACACTTTAAGTCTTGACACCATTTAAATCTTTTTTTTTTTTTCTGAGGACGTTTGAGAGCTGTCCCTGTGGTTGTTATAAAGACGGGATGTTATACCCTTCTTCAGCTGATGGTTTATTGCTGTGTCCTTTAATGAGTTTAGAGTGGGCAGTGTTAGGGATTTTTGAAATGAAGCTTCTGATCTGTAGAAATTTGAAGAAATGTTTGGTTGGAATGCCAAATTTCCATGTCAAGTCATTAAAGCACATTAAGGTGTCCTTGTCAAATAGGTCTGCAACTTTGCACAAACCTCTGGCAGCCCACATTTTAAAACCAGAATCTTTCCAACCAGGGTCAAAGGCCTTATTGCCCCAAATAGGTGAGAATTAGGATAGTGCTCGTGTTTCATTTTTAACCTTAAGTGCATCAAACCAGAAACAAATGACATTTTTAACAAACTGATTCAATGTATCTTTCAGATCATATATACACACACACACATATATACACACACATACACATATACACACACACACACACACACCTATATGTGCATACATATACGTGTGTACACACACACACACACACACACACACACACACACACACAATTTGTAGAGTTCAAGACTGGAATTGCCAAGGGTACACAAGATCAGAGACTGCATTTGTTCAAATGTATAAAAATGAATGAGATTCCCCATACCAGATCGGTAAAAGCCTGGGTTAACGATCAGTTCTATTTTTAATACCACCAAATCACAGCTGCCCCAAAGTGCTTAATATTGAAAGTTGAAAACCCTACAACTTCAAGTCAATGCAAGAGTCAGATGATCAAGCACTTTCCAGCAGAATTTTGATGCCTACTTTCAACACTGTATAATAAAGGAGCAAGAAAATCCATGGGATACCTTTTCTTTGCAACTAGAGCCAGAAGCACTGTTGGAGCACACCAAGCAGCTCAGGCTGTAGCCTTTGGGATCAGTTACTTGATAGAAGTGAAACAAATAATTTAAACATCGAATTACAATCAAATGCACAGAACACTCAGCTTTATTAAAGTCTTTATTCCATATCCAAAAGGCTTCTTGAAAGCAGATACATGCTCTTTAGTTTCACCTGCAAGATTAAGCAGAAATAAGTCAATTAAAAAGGACCTTCAGTCATTAATGCGTCACTGCATGTAGTTACCTCATTAGACTTTTATCCCTTGAAATCCACTCGCACGTCTTGGGTACTGTGGCAGTACAGGACTCAGAGGATGGTGGCCCAAGATATTATTAGAATATTTGGCGTGAGAAAGTACTTCTCTTCCTCGCTGGTAGCCAGTTCCAGTCTGGACAAGATGGGACGAAGGCAATGAAGGTACCTGAGGGAGCAGCGCAACCATACCTAGTGGCACCTCATAAGTAGACCAGGCATTGAAGTCAGGGAAGGGACGTGGTGGCATCCAGTTCCATGGGTGGTTAAGGAAAGAAGAACTTAATACAGGATAATTTTGATAAGGAACACCACCAAGGAATGAATAACCATTAGACCACGTTGGGCGAACCTCTCCAATGGGGCCAACAGGAGCAAAGGACCAGCCTCCTGGAGAGCTTCTAGGGCCAACCCATCCTCCACTCGAGCTCCCAAGGCCGAAGGACCAGCCTCCTGGGCCAACTGCTACCCCAGTGGAGCTCCCAGGAATAAAAGACCAATGTCCTGCAGAGCTGCTAATCCCTCCTCCACTGGTGCTCCCAGGGTTAAAGGACCAACTCCCTGGAGAACTGCCAGGGCCAACTGCTACCCCAGTGGAGCTCCCAGGGCTGATGGACCAACTTCCTGCAGAGTTGCCAGGGCCAACCCCTCCAGCAGTGGAGCCAGCAGATCCAGGATCAACTCCACCTCCATTGGAGCTGCCAGAGTCAAAGGACCAGCCTCCTGCAGAGCTAACTTCCCCTCCAGCAGAACCATTGTGTTCAGGGCCAGAATCGAGTTCTCCTCCAGTAGAACCATTAGGTCCAGGGCCAGAACCAGCCTCTTCTCCAGTAGAGCCATCATGTCCAGGGTTAGTGCCAGCACTTCTAGCACTGGCAGTTACAGCTGGACTAGTTTGCCCTGAATTAAAAGATTTCAACTAAATGTAAGCTTGTAAAACCAAGTTAATTTAAGCTTCTAGGCATTCTGAAGTTGAAGGAATAGCTTACCTTTCATTGTTTGAGGGAAACAAGATCCACTGCTGAAAAGCAGGAAACAAATGCAGGAAACCCTGTGAAAAAACAAACAAGTCTCTGTAGATAAACTACTAAATCAGACAGCATTAAATTTCACTACTCACTTCAAAACAAGCTTGAGCCCCATGTCTGACTCAAAAAGCAGCACGACTCATCTACAGCAAGTTGGGATGAAAACCATGAGGGCGCTGCAGGTTTGTGCTTTAACTGATGTGTGGTTGCTGTTCGCTTTATATTGGTGCAGTTGCAATTACAGTGATTAACCACACCTGGTAAAACCTGCATTTAGCTTGCAACTTGGAAGTGTTTTACCTATCTACTGAACAGTTGGGAGCAAATGAGTGTAACAGGTTGTCAACCTAATCTTATATTGTTTATATACTGCCTGCTTTTTATTTTCTTTTTTTCAAACAGTCAATATTTTCAGGTTAGTATTGTGGAACTTTGACTTAAAAATGAAATATTGGGATAAATTGAAAATCTAAGATAACATAAAAGCTATTTTTAAAAAACATTTCTGACTTACACTTTTGTTTTTTCCCAGTGCAGGAAACAAGCCTCCATAGATATGACCCATGATTCTGAACGTACAATTCTTATGTTTTAATGAACACTTAAACTTAATTTAGATTATGTTTCAAAAACCAACATTTTAAGTCCTTCCAGGCATTTCAGATGGCTGTGGAGTTGCAAGACTTGCTTTTTGAACATTTTGTTCAGAGGGTTACACCAACAAAGATGAAGTGACAGTCCAAACACTGGACTGTTGAATTAAAACATGAGCACAGAGGTTAATTATGGAAAAAAATGAATGATCAATATAGCACTGAGTTTGCATTGAAAATATACCTCATATCGGTATATCTAAATCCTACAGCTATGCTAATGTTGTGCTAAAAATTCATAGGACATTTACGGTTGCACATCTGAAGCCTTACAGCATCAACAAAACCAGCTAATGTTAGCTCAGCTCAAACTTGAGTGTTGTGGTTGCAAATAGCGGGTTGGCAAGGTTCGTCAGCCAGCGAGATAGTTATGGGTTATTCAGGAAATTCATGTTCACCAAATCAGAAAAAATGGTGAACAAAACTAACTCGACTTTCTTCTTACTGTTCCATACACAGTTGTAAGAAACCTGATGTAGGAACATATGATGGGTTTACTCATGCCAGCAATGTTTTTGTGTTACTTGGGGAGCGGCTTAGACACAGGAATGCATTTTCAGCTCACTAGCAGTAGAATTTTGGCACCCAGTTATCCTGCTGCATTTATTTACAGGCCATGATACCCATTATTCAGTGAACATTATTGTATTTAGAAGACTTGGTTCACTGTCCGTAGAGTTAGCAGCACACTGCAACATCTAAAACCAAGATGATTGACAGTCAATGCAATTTTTCTTATGTTTAATGTTTGAAGACATCAGTTCTTGCACAGCTGAGGGTCAGCATCACCTGCAGAAACAAAGAAAAAAATATATATACACAAGTAACGCGTTACTGCCCATCTCTGTTCAGAACAGACCCTTTGTTTACTGGGTCATTATCAACGAACTTCATGTGAAACCCAGAGACTAGGAAGGAAAGGAGAAAAAGGTGTCCAGGAAGTAAAAAACCAAAAGGGCTGATCTCGACAGGAAGGAGATCAACGGTTTCAAATGAAATGAAAGTCACAGCAAAGAATAGGACATCACGTTTTATTCCAACTTGTAATTTTTTAAAGTGCCTCGATAACAAACTTCATGTGGTTAGCATGAAATCTATAAAAATGATCATCAGGCCAAGGTCCAGCATTAGTGTGTGCTCAAACAGGTTAGAGGTTCAACATCTGTCAGCTGGGCGACGTGAAGAATTTCCTCGCTGGCTCTGGTCGACCTCTGAGGACAAAACAAACAAACCATGACATGAGAGAACTGAAACAACAACGCTAATATCTTTAACTTGCATTAAAGGGCTGCACTTATACTGGGAAAACTAAAACCCAGAAATTCTCCCAGTCTTAGAACTAAAGTTAATTTTACTAATACGCATCAGCCCCATGATCTTCCTCAGTATTTGCTCAAGAGTTTGTGGATGTTGCGTTAACGCGGCGTGGTCTTACGCATTGGCCCGGTTCCTGACTCGCCCTCTCACAGATCTTCCTGCTGTAGCTTGGTAACTGTTTAACTCTGGAGATGTCAGCGGCTGGAAGAAACGACCTGAGAGGAAAATATTTATATATATTAAAAAACAAAAACAAGGTTCAGTGCTTCCTTCTTTGTATTAAGAGGTCCAGTTACACTGTGAAAGAAAACAAAGGAGGCTGAGGCAGTCGGATGATTCACAGCGATGGTTAAACAGGCCTCGGGTTTCCCGAAAAATTAAAAAAGGTGCACACTCACCTTGCCCTTCACTCTGGCCCATCTTACTGGTGGAGGAAGAGGGGGGGATTTGGCCAATGAGGATACGCCTCCAGTAATCTTCAGGGAGGGACAACAGGCGGCAGACAACCTGCAGTGAGAGCAACGAGAGCACTCAAAATGAACTCTGAAGATGCAGAGGATAGAGAAATTAATACTATAAAGACATTTGAAAGCAGTGTTACCTAGAAACACTTTTCACATTGCATGTGTGATCCACACAGAAATGTGGTCACAATTGTGAGTTAAGTGTCGTGATATATGGAGATTATTATGCATGTTTTATTTTGCTGGTTTATTGGTGTAATTTAAATCCACAATGTCATGTAAGTTCCCTGTTGCCAGGAGAGTGTATAACACTGTGGACAGTAGGGGGCAGCAGCGTGCTTTGGGAACTGAGTTTTCCATTCTGGCAAGACTGACCAGGCAGCGTGTCGCCTGTGTTCACTTTCTCTCCTGTTTTACAGGATCGTAATCTGGCTACGCGCCCATCATAGTCGGGCCTGAACACATGCACAAACTGTGATACGAAAGCTTAAATCAAGGCAGAATGGACGACATCACTGCTGGACCGAACGGATCACAGGTGGATGCAGAGCTGGGTCAGAGCACGTAGTGAAGGTGTTCAGGAGTGGGCAGGTCGCTAACTGTGCAGACTGTAAAGTCCGGAGCAGAGCCGCCGACTGAGACTGTGTCAGGCCTGAAGAGCCGGGGGGGGCAACAGGGTTAGGGTTACTGAAACTTTTTCTGACTATATAGCAGCTACGAGGTCAGATATCAAATGCTAGCAGTGACCGGTTCAGTCTGTACTTTATCGTGACTGAAACCAACCATTATCCAAAATTCAACTCGATTATCCCCCCCCGCCTTCCGGTCTGGATAATTAGAGAGGCTGACCTTCAGCTGAGTGTTGGTGTCTCTCAAGATGGTGCTGGGTGATGGCTCAGGCATCCCGTGACCCACAATGGTTGGGCCGAACACCCGGGACAAGTTATTCTGGTCCATCTGGCACTGAGGACTCCTCATCACCCTCAAACATTAAGAGCAGTTTAAATAAAAAAAATAAAAAAAGAGAAATACACACACACACACACACACAATTTACTTTGGTGATTTATTTATATTACATTAGGTCACAACAGCTGCCTTGAGGTGACCACCTTCTGAAAAAGGACCCAGAAAGCACCAAAGCTCAGAAAGAAAAAGCCTTAAAATCCCAAAGTGCTCATCTGCAGCTCTTCAGGTGTACTCGAATTCTGTGTGGAGACTTCGTGGAAGGACTTACTTGTGTAAATGAATCATGAGGAAGGCAAGGGTGTCCCTGTTGGCCTTTGGCAGCTCTGCTATGGCCTGATACATGGTAGCTGAGCAGTTGTCTTCATCAGTCAGCTCTGAAAAGACGTGACATTAGGCGCTGTCTCAGCTCTGGAATTTAAAGGTCTGAACATACCTGAAGCCTCCATAAAGGTCCTGTGCAGTCTGAAGGTGATCATAGGTTCATTCAGCTTCCTCAGGAAGTCTTTCAGCAGTCCGCAGACCACATGGACATCTTGGACTTTACTGAGCATCAGAGCAGATTTCCCCTGAAGGAAGCAGTCTCTGAGCTCCTTTACCAGACGCTCACCTCCAGGAACTCTGTACAGGCCTCTCTGCAGACACAGGTTAGACATACAGGAAGTGCATGCTGGGGACAGGACTCCAGGAAGTTTTCTTTATCCACATCCTTGCATGCACAGCCCTCTACTACAGGAGGATCCAACCCTCATGTATTCCCAGAGTATCAGAACAAACAGCTGTCTTTATTATTGATACATCCATAAACCCAAATGATCAAAACCGTAACGGCTCACCTCCTGCAGGCCCCTCCTCTCGATTTCGGCCACGCAGTCCACAATCAGCTGAGGCACTCTGGGATGAGTCTGAGGAGCAAAGTCCTCCAACGAGTCCTGAACAAGGTTACTTTATTTATACCCATAGCTAAATTTGCTTTACGGAAAAAAAAGATAGCATTTGGCATCCCTTCAAAAACACACATACCTAATAAAAACCTGACTATAGTACTTTAAACATTTCAAATCGAAAAACAGTTCTTATTTAATTCAGTGACAGCAACACGGACAAAGCTGTTTTTATAACGCTTTGTCCTGCATCTTGGAAATGAAAACCTCCGTCCTGAGGAAAGAAGCTGAAATTCACCCCGTAGAGGATGGGAACCATTTTTAAGGCTTGATCCTCTGTACCTGCTTAGAGTACAGGGAGACTGTGGCTCACCTATCAGACGACTGGACCGTCTCACTGATTCAGCGAGTTTTTCTCTGTGACAGAGGTCTGACTGAACCGTGCCATCAAACAAAAGGATAAAACTGACTGAGAATGTTTTATCATTCATGAAAATATCAAAGTTAACATTTTTCAGTCAGTGTCAAATGAGCACGTTTCCTGAGGCAATAAAGGAGCTGGTGACCCTTTTTACAAACTGATTCGCAATTTTGTTCAGTTTTTCATTGATTATGGTCCCAAGATTTTTATATGATTGAACTTGACTTGCTGACCTTTAATTAAAGTGACTCCATGCCCATTCTTTTGTTTCTTAAAATCAATAACTTCATCTTTAGTTTTAAATATGTTCATTGGAGATAAGACTCCTCCCACCACTGAACAAAGCCATCAATGACTGGACCGTAGCCAGTTTCACCCTCTTTCAGTAAGCTGACAATAACAGAGTCACCTGCATGTTTAATGATGACTCGTGTTTGTATAGAGAGTGAATAATAAGGGCGATAAGACGCACCCTTGGGGAGAACCTGTGGAGGAGAA